TCATGTATAAAGGCCTCCAGAATGCAACTTTTTTGGAAAGCAATCCAATCCTATTAAATCATTTTGGGGATCACGCAGTAAAGGAATTTAACACTACACAGACAAGTGGACACAAACCTGTCGGTCCCCTGGGGGGTTCTGGGACATTTTCACACCTCACGGCCCACGTGAACAGCAGTTTAAATAAAGGCTGCGGAATTTCTGGAACTTTAGAGGCAGACACAGTATTTGATACAACAGGAGATGGAAATCACTCAAATATTGAAAAGGGAAACTAACTTTTTTGGTTTCATGTGGTTATAAAACACTCAAACCCAACCTGATTCCCCTCAACAAGCAGGGGTCCTATGTGAGGATTACAGAACAGGCCAACAAAACTCCCCCTGTAACAGAATGAACTGAACAAAGAGGTAGCAACTATAAGCAATGACAACTGTTTTAAAGTCCTTTTCTTTATATTTTTGTACATTGTATAAATTTTACATGCTACAGTACAGTAAGGGTAGAATGTTATTCTTTTACAGGTAGAAAATAAGCAAACCATACCCAATTAAATTCATAGTACAGCTCTGAACTATGTTGTGAAGTTTATTAAAAAAAAAGAAACTTCTATTGGTTTTCCTGATACAGGACCATTTTTTTAGAAAAAAAACAACAACTGATAGTACAGTTCAAAATAAATTCACAGTATTATTTTTTCTGAAGCTAGAATCCTAAGTGGATTTAAAAACAAAAACACCTATTTCCATAAAATACATTAACAAAATGTGACACATGATTACACTTTAATATAAATGTCACCAGTGGGACATATTTGACAGTGTATTCTTAATTCTTCAGTGAACGGCTGATGCAATATTAGGTTACGGAACAAAAAGTGAAGGATGTTCTCAAGTTCATCCTGTTTTCAAATTCTGGTGCAGCAAACACTGTCTTTAGTCAATGTGGGTCTTGACTTTGCCTTGGAAAAGACAACAAATTATATCTTGATTCCTAGTATGAGACATACCAAAATGTTGATCGCTCTGGACAAAGGCAAGACTCTTCTCA